ATAGAGTAATATTGTAATATCAGGACATTGGAGTCCACACAAATGTTATGGACATACAACTCTATTGTTGTCAGTAATATGGTATTATTTCCATATCACTGCACAGTAGTTTTATTTATAAACATGCTTTGAATTTGTTTTTTGGTGACAGGTGTTCCTCTTTTAATCCTAGCTTAATCTGTGTTTTGTTACAAGAGGTCACAGGCAATGTGTGGCCATAATGTATTGGCTTTGCTTTGCCTCTCAATGAAAAACAAATTTATGCCAGTTATAGAAAATAAAAAATATTTATGTCATCATGTCACATGTCACACAGACTGTATGATGGGCAATTAGTCCCAGTGAAGTGTCCAAAATATGAAGCATATGAAAACTGATGTGTTTTAGGTGATAAAAAGAGGCACAACCTCCTTTGCACGTAATTCTGATACTGTCCCTAATCTACATACAGTAATGCCAACAACCTGTTAAAACCTGTTCTGCTGTTATCTTCTGTCAGTCAATGTCAGCATTTCTTTGCTGAGTTTAATTGTCAGTTCTGAGGAAGTTATTTGTTATCTGTTGATAATACTGCACTTTTGCTGTTCTTTAATATCACATAATCATGGCTTGGACCAGATTTTGGACAAGGTCATGTTTTATTGGTGGGTATAGCTTTCATTGGACCATGGTAAATGATTATTATGGAAATGCTTATCCATTTCTGGGAATTTTCCAGGAAAAGTAAACCATTTGGGCATTACATCAAGTATATATTTCCTATATGAGCACACCACCCTCCCATTTGTTGCAGATATTCTCAGTATCTCAAATATGAATGTGTATGACTTTGTTTTGTGCAGTGCATCATGAGAAAATATGACAAACATTTTCCCCTAACAAAGAGCAACTCGTATTCATAATATTATGTGATGAAAGTTGTGTATAATTATTCATTAATTATTCATTATTCATTATTAATACATTTCAATCTCCATAATTTGGGTTTACACGGCTATTGTGACACCCCTGCATGTACGTCTTCACTTCAAATATTACTATTTATTTGTGTTATATGGGTTTGTGTATACATTTGTAAAATAAACTGTTGATGCATATCAAGTAAATATCTTCTATAAACTTGAATGCACTAATACTGTTAATGTTTTCTTTTGTCACAAGGCAACACAAGTAAGTTGCATCTCATCATATAACATCTATATTATGGTATCTCAATAAAATAATTTTTTTTTTTTTCATGCATTTTGACTCATCGGTGTTGGATTTCATCTTAAATTATCAATTTCTAAGAAAATTTAATCTAATATCTATGTGTATACATGTTACATTGTTGTTTGAGGGACTGCTTTCTAATTTTGCTGTATGTTTTTAAAAATTGAATACATGTAACATACATGTACATCACATTATTTCTGCTTCTTGTATTTACCTGTTTTAATTAATCACGTTGTCCTGTGAAAGACTGTCTAGTGTGTGTGAAACAAGAAGAGCGCCCTCATAGCTTGAAACTTCACAACTAATAATACATCACAGGGAGTTGGAAAATGAAATAAAATTTTAAAATTATTTTTGTCTACTTCATGGACAGTTTACCTAAAAAGTTGTAAACTGTTAACATGACAATGAATAACTGATAGTGATTGTTAATTGGCAATATTGTTCTAGAAATTACTAAACACTTTTATAAATTGGTAAATTTATACCAATACCAATTTTTACCAATTTTATACAGTAGTGTGGGTGTTCATATGGGCAAGAATAAAACAAATATAATTGAATCTTTTAATTCTTTGATAATAATTTGCTTAAGGTATTCCAACTCCCTTTCTTTCTGATAAGTCGCGTCATCTAGTCACGAAGTGTTGTTGGTGTGGATGAGTGAAAGAAATTTTCATCGTTTTTGTCTAGTTGCCTTTGTTCAATTGATATGTTACTTGTATATTGAAAATGATGTAACAACTACATCAACACTGCAAACATCAATAATAATTTCACCCATGTTTGTCTTGTCTACATTATAGCATCGCTTTAAAGCATAGACGCTGTGGCTTTTTTGGGGAAGGTTTATTCAAATTTCACTTTTATACATTTCAAATATACTTTAATATAATTGCTGGTATGCTGGTCATATTTTTCAACACTGGTTTGTATATGTTTTGTTGCCTGTAGGTGGCGCTGTTCATCTTGTCTTATTCTCTCATATAAACCATTGGGGAAGACTGTGTAATTATTTTCATTGTTCTCTTCGTTTGTGTATCTCTCATTGTGTCTGGCTTGCTAGAGTCAAGGTGATGGATCTTCTGTTTTGATATAATTTTTGTCCGTTCATTGCAGGCATTACTAGCCCAAGCCAATCAGATTCAGACAACTATTTCTACGGAGGTGGTCAAAAAGAAACTTGAAAAGGTACGTCAATTTCTATAAATGTGATTGATTTATTATGTATTAATAAAATAGGGTGTGGTGGGTAAACATGCAACTCAGTCACTGGTATCTCTTTAATATTTATTTGACTAACAATTTCAAAGTTTTCACGACAGGAACACAATCTACAAATCTTTTAATAAATCTGTGACATGGTGGTCAAATTTAGTAGTTGAAAGTAAAGTGAGTAACTCCCCTGTCCCAATGTTTACAAATAAAATACAAATTGTTACTCCATGACTGTTGCTAAATGACTTGGAAATGCATGATCGAGATTGTTCAGGATATATAACAAGAATATTGGTAAATGAAAATGGAATGAATTAAAATAACAACTGACTGGATGGTTGAACAGCGCCCCCATAGTTGTCTTTCACATTCATCGACAAAGTTGTCTGTAATAAACAACCAACTTAATCATTTGAATGCCATCATTTTTGTGCAATATATATATATATATGTTTAAATTATTTGTTAATTTAGACCGAATGGATGTATTTTCTGAACTGTGACAAAAGTAGAATTTGTTGTTGAAAGGTTTTTTGTAACAGCATATCTCTATTTTGTTCTTTTGTTCGTGACTGAATTACAAAAATTGGTACCCTAGTATAGGCATAGAAGATTTAACAATTTTTTACGTACGTGTATATGGAAGGGTGAATTATTACTTATTTGTTTGTGTTTTCAGGATGTCAATAGTCTTCAGTTTGAGTTAGAGCTGAGAAATGGAAGTATGATGTTGAGTGAACAAACCTGGGCTGAAAGATTTGATCGGTAGGTCACCTATCTTTCTGTGAAGATGTCTGTGTCTGTACTGCCTTGCACATAGAAGTACATGTATTGTGATTGCACATGGAGTATTTGTGGCAGTGTATGTCAGTGTTTGTAGTGATGCTGATATTTATTTTGACAATTCATTAACTATTTGTTTTATTTTATCTATAGAGTATGTCGAGAGAATGCGGCATTGATGGCCACGCTGGAAGCTAGATCAGATGAATTACGAAAAATGCATTCGGAGAAAATGGGTAAGTACAGGTTGTAGCATATAAAAGAAAGCATTTTCTATCTTCATAAACTTCACCCTATTTGCTCTATTAGTAGCACATGTGCTTTATGCAAATGACATGGATGTGTCTATGGTCAAAATAAGTCATATTTTAATAATCCAACATGCCATAATAGTAATATTTGTTATATGTACAGTATTATTAGAGCTGTGCAGAGCGAATACTGTATCTGATATGCACCAATATTCACATAATAACGTCACTGTCACGTTGCTCCAAATATTCATGTGCATACAGAAAATAATGATTTTTAGAGAAATGAACATTTGCTAGCTTCTAAAACTGGAAATCCAGTGTCAGTGATAATACCTTAAACTAAATCTCTTCTGAAGATACTTATTTATTGTTTATGTTAGCTGTGATACGCGAGAGAGATGAACTGATATCAATGATGGATGTCAAAGAAAGGTTACAGTATGAAAGACATAAAACAACATCTGATGCAAGTTACACAAACAATACTGTAGCTGAGGTAAGTATTTAAATGTTTTTCGCATTTCTGATGAATAAATATCTGATTTTATTCACTGTTAAAATTCAATACATGAGCATCACATGGATTAGTTTGTGGTTTCAAATATCAGTATTTCATCCTTTGAAAGTGAAAGTAAACTTTAGTCATGTTTGACAAAATAGACATGCATTATGTTTTCCATATTTTTATGAATAATTTTACCTTTGGGTAATGGGAAATTATGCCTATTTGGTCTAATAATTAATAAAAAAACGATATGGAAATAAACATAAAAACATTCAAAATCAAAGTTCAATGCATTATGTTTTCCATACTTTTATGAATAATTTTCCCTGTAGGAATTGAGAAATTATGCCCATTTGGTCTAATAATTAATAAAAAAACGATATGGAAATAAACATAAAAACATTCAAAATCAAAGTTCAATGCATTATGTTTTCCATACTTTTATGAATAATTTTCCCTGTAGGAATTGAGAAATTATGCCCATTTGGTCTAATAATTAATAAAAAACCGATATGGAAATAAACATAAAAACATTCAAAATCAAAGTTCAATGCATTATGTTTTCCATACTTTTATGAATAATTTTCCCTGTAGGAAATGAGTAATTATGCCTATTGGTTTAATAATTA